AATTTTTTAACATTTCAGATGTCAAATTAACGATAACAAAATGTTTATTCTCCTATGAGTGTGGTTTAATTTGAGGTTTTATATGTTTCTTAAGGGTGGATAGGGGGATATATAGGTCTGAGTTCAATAGGTTGCTTGGAATTGAAATGATTGAAATGATACATAATTCTTCTTGAATTGATGTTATTGCACTTACATACATCCCAAGACAATGAGGTCGTTGTTACTGAAGTAAAAACAAATAGGTTATCTTGAAAGATTATTTTAGTTTTTCACTTTTTTTATGAAAATATATAAAAGCGTACCCCCAGGTCTAGACATATGAGTGGAATTTTCATTGAATATGAAACATTGTTTATGTTTTATTGTTATTTTGATTTTTTTTTATTTTCTTTATGTTACTTCATTGGATTATGTAATGGTGACGTCTGAGTAAACAATTTGACTGTATATTTGTGGTGACGTCTGAGTAAACAATTTGACCTTTATATTTGTTTGAGATTGTCGTAGGTGTGATAATCGGGTACTTTAATTGTTTAAGGATCGTGTAAGTTCAGTTTTTGAATTGATATTTCTCCTCTATGTCTGATTTACAAAAAATTCAATCAAGGATAGTCCTTAGGGACACTCAAGAACTTAGGCACAAGTTCTAGACCACAAACTAGTAAGTATATGTATTGTTTTCTTTAATTTGAATGCCAAAGTGATCGAGATATGTTCTATCTCTTGTGTTCTCCTCCTTTGTACGAAATATGGAGATATATATCCATTTCAACCGTTGCATGCAGTTAAAACCCGTTTGGGAATAATCGTGATAGTTTTTGAAAAACTGCACGAAAATGTCTCATTCTCTCTAGACCTCGGTCTAGAACCACAAAGCTGGTCTACTGAGAGTTCTACCTCGAGTTCCACTGCCGTAGACAGTTTAATTTGGGATAAAACTTGTTCTTATATACAAGTGTGCACTCTGCACCTACTAGCTTGTATTAGATCATAGTTTTGATCCTCATTGACACTCATGTCATTTCTAATTTCACAAAACGGTCGGTGACACTAAAATCACCAATAATCCTCCCTCATTTTAGTGTAACCCATGACATGACATAAAAATTTTTACAACCCAAAACGTATACATAGATTAAAATGCCGATACGACTTGTAAGAAATCAAATCAAAAAATTCACAATTACGATACGATTAACAATTTATTAAATGAGAATAATAATATGGACTAATAAATAAACTCTAGAATAGACTTCGCAAAAAAAGTAACAATTTATAAAATTTGATTAATAATGAAGAATTCCTACAATAAACTTACACACAAAATTAACAATATCAGAAATAGAGATAATAATAAATAAACAACCCAAATTGGAAGAGCCTCCAAACTCTCTGACCATGTAGTAAAGGGCCGAGCCCTTTTAGGTAACGCGCCCCTAAAGAAAGTTTGGAAGTGAATGTGAGTTCCGCAGTTCTTGCTGAGGTCTCATATATGTTCCAAATGCATTGAATCCCCCTTGGACTATAATGTTTTACTATATTTATTGATCATAGATAACTTTGGTACTCTCAAGAAATTTGAGTTGAGCATGTACTATGTATGTACAATATGTAATATGCTACTACATACATTTCATGTATTATACATCGCACAATAGAGTATTATTATTCCAATTATGTTTCATTTATTAGGCTAACCGCAACTGTGTTTCGTCAAAAAATCACATTCTTCATCGGGTTATACAAAAATTTGGTATTAATCCAGTCAAATCAGTTTTTTTCCTACGATCTAGTATCGTCAATATACTCAATCAACAAACTTTTTTTTAATTAAGACCTTACTTTTATTATTATACATTTTGTTTGCCAATTTTTATGAATGATTGTGATTTAAAAAGTTAACCATTCCGATAGTAAAATAAATAAATTTGAAATTCAATTTTATTGTTGTTATATCAAACCTATTTTAAAAATGACAAAAAGATGTAAAAACAAATATTTTAACCATGAAATCTTAATTTTAGCACTTGAATTTATTTAAGAAAACTTTTAGACCTAAACACCTCTAGCAATTGAAACCTAATATTTTTGTAAACTTTATATGTAGAATATTAGTGTCATATGAAATATCATAAAAATGAGTTTTGATAATTTTTTGTAAAATGTAGAATATAAATACAAACTTATAACAATTCAAAGAAAAAAAGAGTGTTTTGCAGGGTCCTACATAACTGTGGGTAAATGAGTAGAGTCTACATAACTGTGGGTAACTTACACACAAAATTAACAATATCAGAAATAGAGATAATAATAAATAAACAACCCAAATTGGAAGAGCCTCCAAACTCTCTGACCATGTAGTAAAGGGCCGAGCCTTTTTAGGTAACGCGCCCCTAAAGAAAGTTTGGAAGTGAATGTGAGTTCCGCAGTTCCTGCTGAGGTCTCATATATGTTCCAAATGCATTGAATCCCCCTTGGACTATAATGTTTTACTATATTTATAGATCATAGATAACTTTTGTACTCTCAAGAAATTTGAGTTGAGCATGTACTATGTATGTACAATATGTAATATGCTACTACATACATTTCATGTATTATACATCGCACAATAGAGTATTATTATTCCAATTATGTTTCATATATTAGGCTAACCGCAACTGTGTTTCGTCAAAAAATCACATTCTTCATCGGGTTATACAAAAATTTGGTATTAATCCAGTCAATTCAGTTTTTTTCCTACGATCTAGTATCGTCGATATACTCAATCAACAAACTTTTTTTTAATTAAGACCTTACTTTTATTATTATACATTTTGTTTGCCAATTTTTGTGAATGATTGTGATTTAAAAAGTTAACCATTCCGATAGTAAAATAAATAAATTTGAAATTCAATTTTATTGTTGTTATATCAGACCTATTTTAAAAATGACAGAAAGATGTAAAAACAAATATTTTAACCATGGAATCTTAATTTTAGCACTTGAATTTATTTAAGAAAACTTTTAGACCTAAACACCTCTAGCAATTGAAACCTAATATTTTTGTAAACTTTATATGTAGAATATTAGTGTCATATGAAATATCATAAAAATGAGTTTTGATAATTTTTTGTAAAATGTAGAATATAAATACAAACTTATAACAATTCAAAGAAAAAAAGAGTGTTTTGCAGGGTCCTACATAACTGTGGGTAAATGAGTAGAGTCTACATAACTGTGGGTAACTTACACACAAAATTAACAATATCAGAAATAGAGATAATAATAAATAAACAACCCAAATTGGAAGAGCCTCCAAACTCTCTGACCATGTAGTAAAGGGCCGAGCCTTTTTAGGTAACGCGTCCCTAAAGAAAGTTTGGAAGTGAATGTGAGTTCCGCAATTCCTGCAGAGGTCCCATATATGTTCCAAATGCATTGAATCCCCCTTGGACTATAATGTTTTACTATATTTATAGATCATAGATAACTTTGGTACTCTCAATAAATTTGAGTTGAGCATGTACTATGTATGTACAATATGTAATATGCTACTACATACATTTCATGTATTACACATCACACAATAGAGTATTATTATTCCAATTATGTTTCATATATTAGGCTAACCGCAACTGTGTTTCGTCAAAAAATCACATTCTTCATCGGGTTATACAAAAATTTGGTATTAATCCAGTCAATTCAGTTTTTTCCTACGATCTAGTATCGTCAATATACTCAATCAACAAACTTTTTTTTAATTAAGACCTTACTTTTATTATTATACATTTTGTTTGCCAATTTTTGTGAATTATTGTGATTTAAAAAGTTAACCATTCCGATAGTAAAATAAATAAATTTGAAATTTAATTTTATTGTTGTTATATCAGACCTATTTTAAAAATGACAGAAAGATGTAAAAACAAATATTTTAACCATGAAATAAAAAAAACAAATCTTTTAACCATGGAATCTTAATTTTAGCACTTGAATTTATTTAAGAAAACTTTTAGACCTAAACACCTCTAGCAATTGAAACCTAATATTTTTGTAAACTTTATATGTAGAATATTAGTGTCATATGAAATGTCATAAAAATGAGTTTTGATAATTTTTTGTAAAATGTAGAATATAAATACAAACTTATAACTATTCAAAGAAAAAAAGAGTGTTTTGCAAGGTCCTACATAACTGTGGGTAAATGAGTAGAGTCCTTGTTGTATCTACTTTTGTACACACATTTGTACTTACTCCCTTATTTTGTCTGTATACACAGACAAACACAAACAAAATGCTGCCTACTTCTTAACGAATTGCCTGCGTGCACATGCAAAATAGGAGGTTGGTACAAAAATGGGTATAAAAGTGGGTACAAACAGATTTTTTGAAATGAGTATACCCGATCCCTGACCATGAATGCCAGACTCTCACTTATTTCTCCATATTAATTTTTATGACACACACACACAAGTTCATCGTCTAGTATATACTCCCTCGTCTCGCTGAACTTTGCTAACTTCCTTTTTTATGTTTGTCCCAAAAAACTTTGTCACTTTCCTTTTAAAGCAATATTTTTGTAGCTCTGTTTATTTCTTTCTTCTCTACACAAATCTTAACCACACAAATTTTACTATTCTAATTTCCCACTTAATATCAACTTACCCACTTAGGGCATCCTCATTGGGAGGATTATTATGAGATTAATTTGGTGACATGGAAGTTTTTTTAGGGAATTATCATTGAGTGACATAGATTATTTAATGAGATTATTTGCTACAATAATCTGGGATCAAAATATGAATCCGGATTATTTTACGATTATTTGAAAAATATATGTAATAGAGATTAATGCAGGACAGAGAAAAAATAGATTATTTGAAGATGATGATTGAGAGACATAAACGAATTTTGAGATTAATTTATAATTAATTATATAACAATATTTAAATGGTAAGAATCATAGAAAAAATTGATTTTACCCGAGTCTAAGGAGAACATATTTTGCCCGTTCAACTGATTCAAAGTCGATCACTCCCACCTGCTTCTCTTGCCCTCCATGCTTTTCGTTCCACATTTTACCAGGCAGTGAACTACTCGAAATACCCCTTCTCAAAATCAACCTTTTCCGTTCGTTCCCGGAATCTTGGTTCCTTTCTTACTGAGCAGACATTTATTTGTTACGTCAACTAGGGGGGAAACCCTAGTTTCCCATTTCGGCGTGAGCTGAATATACCAATCGGCCGATATCTGCGATGTCGCGCGCGGCGAGGGATTGCGCTTTTATATCTCCGATCACTTTATCTAACGTCTTCCCTGCAACCCCGAATATGCAGAAAGATACGAGGCAGTATCCAGAGCGTCATCTCGCAGCTGCTTCGACTTCTTCATTTGGAAGTTCCGACCTTGCGTCTTCAACCAGTGATGGATTCAATTGTTCTTTCGTTTCAGAAAAGTGCGCCAAAAGTTCGAGGCTTAAGCCTAGGATGGCTAAGACAATGAAGCCGTTAAAAAAGTCAGAGTCTGTTGGGGACGGTTTAGGGTTTAATTTGTTTAAACTCGGCCACACGAGGTCGGGCTCTGCTGTTGGTCCGTCCGGTGGTAGTTCTGGACTGGACACAAACCAGGGGAGTAGTCAAGATTTTGAAAACTCAAAACAAATGGGTTGTGGTGAGAATGGGAATCCTTTGTTTGTTTTTGGCTCTAATAAGAGTGGAACACAGTCAACGAATTATGAATTTGTGTTTGGTGCCAATCAGAATACACCAAGATCCATGTCTAGCGTAGAGATTGATTCCAATGTAACTAAGGTCACTCTGAGTAGCTCGGTATCAAATTCAAAATTCGAAAATGCAGCAACTTTACATTCCAACGCGGGGCAAAAAGCTTCTGACAATATTCTCCTGCAATCAGGTACCTTTGATTTTAGGAAACTTGGGGTTGGTGCATCAGTTTTTACTGGTAATGTAAGTGCACTGCAACCTAATGACATGCTTTCTAATGAGCATAGCAAGTCTATCAATCCAAACAATAGTTTTGGTGAGAAGAGTTCTTTTGGACTGAACTTTGATTTTCAGAGTTGGGGAAATAGTGCAGAACAGAAAGGTTCAGCACCAAATTTGTTTTCTGTAAAGAAAGAAACCATTGGAGGTTGCCGAATACCACTCCCTGAAATGAATGGGATTGCTGCACCTAGTTTTGAAACTAACCCTAGTTTTCCAACTGATAATGCTTTCACAGGTTTTGTTTTTGGTGCTAATAATGCAATGAGTTCATCATATGCTAATACAAAAGCAAAGAAGCCTTTTCGAAATCCTAAAGCTTGTAAGGGGTGGAAACCAGACTCCAATGTGGTTTCTCAGAAGGGAAGTTCTGGTGATGTTTTTGTATTTAAAGGAAGCAGTGATATACAGAAGACCAGTTATGAGGAAAGCAGCAAGTTTCATGTGAATCAGAAGTTTGTTTTTGGTAGTCAGAATGTTTTGGGTGCTGATGTTTCTGAACTCTCAAGTGAGTTTAATTCCTTAAGTATGACTGCCAAGGCCAATAATATGAGTTGCAAGTCACATTCTAATAGTAAAAATATGTTTATTTTTGGATGCAACCAAAATACTTTTGATTTTTCTACTGTATGTGGAAGTGCTGACAAGAGTTTCAACAATCAACATGGGAATGTGAATCCAATGGAGCCTGGATATGATGAAAGTGCTGGTAAGGTTAAAAAAATTAATGTCACATTTGGTACTGAAGAAAAGGAAGCTAGCTCCTTAGGAGTAGGTACTCAACATGTGATGGCCAAATCACTGGACAAGAGTGCAGAGTTTGTTAGTTGTAGTGAGCAATTAAGTTCCAGGAGATCCTCTGCTGAAATATATGGAAAGGAGAATAACCCAATTAAATTAACGAGTTCTGATACGACCCAATATCATTGCCCACATGACGACACTAATGTCCAAGTAAATGGCGGTGCTACTGTAGCATCTTCTCTTAATAAAGATGAGAAGACTGATCAAGCCAACTTCACAAGCTTTCGATTTGGAATGGGGGAAACCTTCAGTGATTTCAAGGAAACTAGTTCTAGTGAAGCATTTTCATTTAATGCTGATGTGTTTTCTGGCTTGAACAAGAAGACGGTTTGTGAAAGCAGGAAATCTATGAGGCATAAAAAGGTGAAAACGAAGAAGATTTTCAGTAATCATAGCCTGGTGAGAGATCAGACTGATCAGCAAAACAATGAGTCTCCAGTCTGTGGTTCGCCCATGGACTTTTCACCATATCGGAATACCAACTCTGAAGCCGAGAACAAATGTCGTGAGCCAAGTGAGAGTAATCTTGAGGTTGACTCACGGAACTGCTTGGATGATCAAAAGAATATTGCTTTCTCTGCTGAACCATCTTCAATAGATGGCTTGTCAGCCATAAGACGTCAGTACAAGAAAAAGTATAGGACAAAGGGTTGCAATCCAGCAAACCAAACCGTACAACAAAATTCTGCATCTGCTTCTCACGTGCAATTTCCCCACACGGGTCAAAATGATTCATCCAAGGTCCAAAATGGAGATGCTTCTCATCCTCATGGAAATGGGACCCATCTATTCAGTACTAATGAGGGGCATGCCAAGCAAGAGTTTCCTGAATTCGAAGCATGTGAGAAATGTCGAATCAGGTGCATCATACTCCCTCTGGTCTTTATATAAGGCACTTTTTTGCATTTCACCATACTAAGGAAATGATTAAATTAAAACAATCTTCCCTTTCCTACAATGCACTTGTACACTTTGATGGAGAATATTTTACAGAGTTTTGAAGAGACATTTTTCGAAGGAAAACACTAAATTTGCAATGATAACACAAACTTGACCTATTTTTCGGATCACCATAATATGCTGCCTTATTAGTAGGACCAGAGGGGAGTGCATTCCAGGAGTCATTCATATTTTCTGATTGATTCTCATTTCACCAAGTCATGTTCGAAGTCCATACATATTCTCCTTCAAATTTTCCTTACTGCTTTTTCGGTAACATTTATCAGGGGAAACAAAGCATATAAGGCTGGTGATCTATCTAGGGCTGATGAATTCTACAGCAAGGGCATAAGATACGTTTCACATTCAAATATTCCTGAGTGCTGCATTCAGCCTCTGTTGTTATGCTATAGCAACCGTGCTGCCACACGAATGTCACTCTGTAGGGTAAGGGAAGCAATCAATGACTGTTCAAGCGCGGCTGCTTTAGACCCTAGCTTTCTCAAAGTAAAGCTAAGAGCTGGAAAGTAAGGCCTTATCATTTACTCTCTCTTTTCTTTATGTTACTTTCTTAGTTGTGTCCTCATTTTGGATACACGCATATTTGTATTGGAGTTATTGCCTATCCTCACAGAAAATAAATCCCTTGAGGCAATAAACATAATTTGAGCAGCACTTTGGCAGTCTGATCTTGTTAAGGGAAGAACATAACTACTTTGAAATGTTATGACAAAGTTGTCTCGTTAGACTATGGAGGACCCGACACCAGTTTCCCATTAAGTGCAGTACTACATCAGTAAACTCAAAATTAAAGCACTTTGATAGAGACTAGACTATAAGTAGCATGTGAACCATTAACCATGCTCACATATTTTCTTCAGCTCCTGAAGAACCTTTTGTTCCTTCTTTATAGTTTATAGATGCCATATACATCAAAATAACCACAACTATACATCAAAATAAGCACATTTACCAAAATGGTTAGCAGGTGGCATGTCATTTCTCCTAAAACCAAGCAGTTTCGTAGCCGAGTAGTGATAATTGGCTATTAAGGTTGAATGGTGCTGTCACAGTACTACTTCGATTCTTGCACAAATAATGGTTGATATTGTTGCATTTATTTATATTATTATATAACATGCACATCCGCACGTAAATTCGTAATAATTTTTTATTACTAGTTGTTACCTATTACTGGGGGAAGTGCAAGAAGCAGTGGTGAATTACAACAGCTGTTTGGAATCAAAAGGGGCTGTCTGCTTGGATAGGAGAATTGCAATTGAAGCTTCAAATGGTCTGCAAAAAGCAGAGGTGACTTATTGCTATATTCATACTAGTTCTGCATTGAACTTGATGAAACTTCTTCTTTTCTCTAGCTGATAACTTTAACTAGTTAATGTGTTACGGATCTACTATGGCGTTTTCTGATGGTTGATATCATACGTGGAGAGGGAAAAACAAATTCATATATAATATCCTTCACTTAAAGTGTGTCAGAACATGAAATCAGGAAACAATATGGGGAGAAATTATCCCTATTCAAAGGATCTAATAATGTGACAGGTCTAGATAGGAAATAGTTGACCTGCAAGTTTTCCAGCTGCTGTAGTACTTACATATATCATATATGTACTGCATGCGAACAGTTCATAGCTGCTCTTATTATGCATCTAATGATAATTGGAGTATACAAACATATGTTTCCAGACTTCCAGTGAAAGAAATGATCAGAATTAGATTCTCATTGAAACATAAGGGAAAACTTTCATTTTCCTCATATGTTAGTAGACGGTCATGCATGTTTATAATATCTAGCACAAAGTCATTCTTCCTAGCAACATCTGATTCTTGTAATTTTATATTGCTTTGCAGAAAGTGGCTGAGAAATTGCGCCTTTCTGTTGAACTTTTGCAACAGAAAACTGCTGATGCTGCAAAAGGTGCTCTCGAGATCATTGCTGAGGCACTGTGTATAAGTCTCTATTCAGAAAAGTTGCTTGAAATGAAAGCAGAGGGTCTGTGCATGGTTTGTGCTAGTTAAAGCTTATATCATCACAGTATTTGTGTCTACTCTAGCATTATGTCCACTTTAGCTGGGTTAATGTCTATGAAAATTGTGTCGTTTTGCAGTTGCAGAAGTATGGTGAAGCAATCAAGCTGTGTGAACAGACCCTTGATTTTGCTGAAAAGAACCATGTTTCACTTAGCACAGAAAACATTAAGGGTTCTCTAAAAATGTGGAGATGGTGCATTATGTCAAAGTCCTATTACTATCTTGGAAAGCTTGAAGCAGCTCTTCATCTGATTGAGAAGCAAGAGCAAGTACTTTTTGTCAAAGACAGGTAAATCCCTCGCTTTCTTCTCTTAGAAACCATTGTCCACTTTATTTATTTTGATTCACATTAATGATTATAACCTTTTTGTTTAGATCTGGGAACATTTCTCGAGAGTCACCGGTTCCTTTAGGCGCTGTTATACGCGAACTTTTAGACCACAAGGTATGCTATCTTCCATTTTGTGTTATTACTGTGTAAGTAATCTGTAGCTTTAAATTGAAACAACAATGTACCGCAATGTTTTTTTCCTTAATTCTTTGTTCCTTAAATAGAAAGCAGGAAATGAAGCCTTCCAATCTAGGAAGTTTGCAGAAGCACTTGATCATTACAATGCTGCTATATCATGCAGTGTTGAATCACGGCCTTTCGCAGCTATCTGTTTCTGCAATCTTGCTGCAGCCCATCAAAGTTTGGGGCAGATTATTGATGCCATTGCCGATTGCAGTGTAGCCATGGCTCTAGATGAAAATTACTCAAAGGTTTTTCTCTGAACATATATTATGCCAAAGAAATTAACCATCTTGTTCTAGTTTCCTTATATGTGTGGATGATTGATCTGTGTTTGTTTGTCTTTTTTTTCTCATATATTATTTTTAACTCTGATGTCATATTTAGATTTCATGTTAGCCGACCCGAACTCTTTTGGTACTAAGGCTTAGATGTTGCTTTGGTGTTGTTCTTGTTCTTGTTTCCCTATGCTGTGTTATATTACATAAATATTTATTGTTTTATTGTCATTAATCCATAAATATTTATTTCTTGTACAAAATTACAAACCATTTGTCTCATTTGCGTCATTATATGAAACTTGAAACTAAATCGTTGAACTAGCTAAAATATTCAACTAATCTATATTTTTGTTGTTGTATTAGACTATTAGTTTATTACTGTTGTTATTATTCTGGTTGTCCAAATATATCGTCACGTCTCTAATTTATTTTGACAGGCAGCTTCAAGGAGGGCTACTTTGCATGAGATGATTAGAGACTATGCCCACGCTGTTACTGATCTTCAGATGCTTATATCTCTGCTAGAAAATCAAAATTCTCATCAAGACGGATCACAAGATAGGTCTAATAGTGGCAGCAGTACTCTAAAAGAGTTGAGAAAAGCTCGCCAACGTCTCTCCTCAGTTCAGGAGAAAGTAAAAAGTGGAATACCTTTGGATCTTTATCTCATATTGTGAGTTCATATTGCGTCTCCTTATCCATTAAAAACTTCTGCTTGAAGAGAAAAACAGGGGAATAGATGCATTCAAGTTAATTATTCATCTTCTATTCTGCATGGCAGGGGAATTAAAGCATCAGATCCTGAATCTGACATCAAGAAGGCGTACAAGAAAGCAGCGTTGAAGCATCACCCTGACAAGGTCTTGAGAATTGAACCCAATTGTATGTTGTTGAATGGATGACTGAGGTATATATACTATATCCTCATGTTTGTTGTTTATGTTGTGACATAGGCTGTTCAATTTCTCGCAAAAACTGAGAGCATGGACGGACAATTGCGGAAGGATATCTCCGATAAAGTTCAGAAGGATGCTGACCGCCTTTTTAAAATGATTGGGGAAGCATATGCTATTCTCTCAGATTCCAACAAGGTATGCTCTCTAAGCTCAGCGTTCGTTGGTTAAGGTTTCATCTATTGTGTTCTATGTTTACTTCTTACTAAAGAAATAGTTGCTTTTCTGTTTCCAAATTACTGAAGCAGAAAACATGTTTTCCAATAAATCTTAAAAAAACTTTCTTTGTTTTCTTAAACTGAAACCAAAAAAACTGCTGCCAAACACATTTTTTTGTTTCCATTAGCAGTACCCGGAAGCAAAAAAACAGGATTTCACTGTTCTTCCTTACCATGTTATGGAACCTCATGCCAGTGAGCAATGCTAAAGTTCATAAGATGTTTTATGAAGTTTATTATTTCATCATTCCCTTTTTATATGACAGCGCTCAAATTATGATTATGAAGAAGAAATTAGGAGTATGCGCAAACAAATGAATACAAATTACAGCTGCACCAAATCATCTGAATCGTACAATTCTCCATTTCGACGGAGCAGTAGCAGTAGACGTTATGGGCAAGACTCGTGGAGAACATATGGGGATTCTCGTCCCGAGTGGTAGGTTAATTGTGGGATTATGAATCAATCAGTCTTCGTTTGGGTGGACCAGTGGAATGAGGGTTACCTTCTTTTCATGGAAGCATACATTTCCATAGACATTAACAAAGTTCAATGGGATGACAGCGAGGAGTTGATCGAAATTCTATGCTGCTAACCAAGACATTTCTGACTGGTCTGCAGTCGCCATTTTCGAAAACTTTCTATGCGCGTTGATATTCATTCATTCAAATAATGAAAGTGATGGTTGGAGGATATCACTAGTTACGATTGCCAACCCATTTCCCACCGAAGAAGAGCACATTTTAGTTATAACTCCTCTCATAAGTAACTGATTTTTGAGCAACCCTACTTAAAATTATTGTTTTCCATTGTTTGCTTTATAAAAGATACATGCTCGTTAATGAAAGTATAAAGTGATAGTGATGTGTTCAATTCATGTGGTAATCTTATGTGACCGTAAGGATAAAGTGATAATTTTATAATATGTCATAATTGTGAAATTGTAAATCATATATTCATAATATTCGCTTTCAAGTTGTTACATAATAAATATTTAATCCATCAAACGCTTTTTGTAAAGCGATCTCCCATACGCAATCAATATGTTATCTATTTATGAAATTAGAAGTCTAAGTAGAAGTGTGGAACGATAAATTGTATTATTTGTATATAGAGTTAATTCTGAACTAAAAGACGATTCATGTGCACAAATAGGACCAAAAATGAAACGTGTGTTTCATAGGACTTAAAATCACATACTTGTACAAATATGCCTTTGCTCAATTTCTTTTGAATGAATAATTAAAAGAAAAATGTAAAATTAAAATGTTGAAACCCTAAATTTCTATCGTAACAAACATGCCGCCCTCGCCGTCGCACACTACCTCTCTCTTTGGTGCTGCCTGCTGCCACCCTTGCCGGCACTGCCTGTCGCTGCTCTCACCGGCATCGCCTACCGCCGCCCTCTCCAGCGCCGCTTGCCGCCTCCGTTGTTGGATCTGCCACCATCCTTCGCCACCACCACCATTAAGTTGGCAGGTTTTTAGATCTGCCATAAAGATGGCAAATTTATGGTTGGAAGATTAAAACAAAAATGCCATAAATTTGGCAAAAATATGAATTCAGTATCCAAATATTTGAAAAATAAAAAAAATGGAATAAGCACGTTAACACAATCGGAAATTTAGAAAACGAAGCTAATGATAAAAAATTAGAAAAATCGTTTTACATAAATGAAATTTTGCCATAATCACTTGTCGGAATACATTTTTTGGCATAAACTTGGCAAAATCTGAAGACATCATCCAAAATTTTGGAAAATTTTCAATTCTTTAAAAAACATGAAATCGGAAATTGTAATTAAAAAACAGAAATCCAAAAATTGGCAAAATCAATGTCAACATCCACAAAAAAAGAGAAATAGAAGAAACAAAAAGAAGGAGGAGGAGGAGAAGGAGGCATAGGAGAATGAAGAGGAGAACCTCAACGACGGCAGCGTGAGGGAGAGTGGCGGTAGGCGGTAGCGGTGTCTATGGGAGCGATGTGCAAAGAGGAATCCATTGTTCCTGCCGCAGAAGAAGCAGATCTAGTACGCATCCGATTGATTGTGCGAAAGAAGAGAGTCGACGACGGCGTGAGAGAGAGGATCGGTCGGATGAAGTTGCTTCTGGTGCATAGGGGAGAAAGCTTCTGGAGTTCTGGTGCATAGAGGAGAAAGCTTCTGCTGCGCAAGTAGATCCGATGCCTAGTACGGGAGGTTGGGAGAGAAATTTGGTCTACGTATGAAAAATAACCGTATGGGCAAAATTGGGATGCAAATTTCTTTATGTTTCTTAATAGGATTAAATTGATCCTATTTGGGGAAAAAAGATAAGAAGTCTTATTTTTGCATTTCAGTCTTGTTTTAGTCCTATATGGGACAATTACTTTTGAATATAACACAGTTACGAGTTACGTCTTACTAATAGGGATGGACCTGGACCGGACCCAGTTCCGGTCCCGGAACTGCCAGTCCTAGTTTTTGAAACTGAAGACCGGAACTGACCCAGTTTCATACGGACTCGATTCCGGTCCAGTCTACTCGACTGGTCCCGATTCCGGATCGGTCCTCTTTTTTTTTAAGTTATTGGAAAATACAAAAAATAATGTATATGAAGTATTTATTATAAACACTACAATGTCACTTGTATCAATATGACATTTGAAATTACAATTGAGAATACTTTAAAGTTGAAAATTATAAAATATGAACTAATCGTCATTGCCGTCGTCGCTTCCGACGTCGATTGTCGTTTCCTCCATGAAATGGCGGTCTGGTGCTATGTTGAGTTCTTGTGTTCTACGGAAGATCTTCAACCAAGCATCGAATCAAACTGAGTGTCTCAAGAGATGAAGCGCTCAACCTCGTTCTATAGTCAATTAAAACGTTACCGGCTTGGCTAAACTCTTGTTCCACAGCAACAATTGAAACCGGCATCGACAACACTTGTTTGACCATTTTTTATAAAACCGGAAACATCCCTTCATGTGTCTTCCACCATTGGAGAATATCAAAGTTCTCCACTTCATTAAACTCAACAATCAATAGGAAACGTACCGTTAGATATAAAGACAGCTCGTTAATTGAGCTTTGTGCAACAGCATGAGTTGATTTACTTTTTTTCAAGAGAGTAGATATTTTAAGCACCGACGAGATTAACAGTTTCTATAAAAAATTGGTTGGGTTTATACACATGAAAAAAAGTTTGAGTAGCGTTGTTAAAATAAACTAAAATGTTGCAAATCTTTTGCATTGTGTCAATCTCAACTGGTTCTATAATATAATTACAAGTTTCTTTCATGAAATTAGGAAAGTGATCTTTATATCTAAGAAGCACAATGATTAAATTATAAGTACTGTTCCAACGAATAGAAAGATCTTCAGGAAAAACACAATACCTTACACCTTTCGACTTCAAATAAGCATGCCATTGCGTTTTTAAGTGAATTACTAGCCCAAATAATTCTAATAGCCTCCCTAACTTTCTCCATCACATTTCCTAATGCGTCTAAGCCGTCTTTCACACACAAATTAATAATATGACATGCACAACGATGATGAAAAAATCTACCCATCAAGGTAGACGGACCACATAATTCACGCAATTTAGGTATAGCAGTAGTATTATTAGTAACATTATCAAAGTCAATAGCAAACACCTTATCAATCAAACAATATTCAACTAAAACACGTTCCATGAGAATATAGATATTATCACTGATGTGTTTTTCATTAAAATCTCGAAAAGCGGTAACACGTTTATGCATTTGCCAATCATCATCAATCCAATGTGCAGTAACACCCAAATAGTACAAGTGATGATAAGTATCTTCCCATATATAACTACAAACAGTCACACATCCATTAAAGTTTGAAAAAATTGAATTAATTTTTTTACAAAAGATATTGTTTAATAACTTGTTTTTTTTAATTGTTTTGCGGCTATAGTTTTGAAATTGTGGATTTAAATAACCTTGAGCATAAGCACGTAAAGCAAAACTTTTAGAAAAAATAAAAGGCAAATTTTCTTCAACAATTAACTCAGACGTAGCATTTAAATGTACCTCATCATTGTAAGAGAAATTACCGAATGGTTGATCATTTCCAAACCTCGATATTTGTGTTTGCGTCCCCTTGCCCTTTAGTTTCGCCGCTTCCGTGGGGTGCCTCGAGTTTAAGTGCCTTTGCACCGTGTCGTATCCCCCAAAGTACCCATCTTCAATATTTGCATATAATATTGGCAATGTGCGTAAAAGTTCCCGTCCGTCAAATCCTTGACCTTCACAAAATGGCCATCAGCAAAAAGAGCAGATTTAGACTTAGACTTACGTTTGTTGACCGCTTCGGATCCACCTGCGACACCTCCATGCTCCTCCTCCTCCAGCATCCTCCTCGGCTTCATCGTCCTCCAACTCCTCTTCAATGGTGGCGATATTTTGTTGGTTGTAAAATTGGCCTTGGTTTTGGTTCAAGAGCTCTTGAAGTTGCTCATAATAGACTAATATATTTAGAAATCTGCCTAATATATATTTAGGAAACTACCTAATATATATTTAGAAATACTTTGTATTTTGGCAACTCTTCTATTATAAATATATCTGTTAGGGCTCCTATTGGAGTACCCTTTCCCATTATTTCACATGGTATCAAGAGCTCTAGGTTTGTAGCTACACAATTTCTTTTTTTCTCCTTTTTTTCGGTTCCCATGAACCCTAGAAGAGCCGCTGCCGCCTCGGGGTCGACTACCGCCACATCTGCGGTAGTCTCCAATCCTTTGAGGATGAGCGCGGCTGATATGATGCAGATCACCTTCCCCGCGTCGCTGACCACAGTGCCTTCTTCCAGCGTGGTCAGTTGAGTCCGCCGCCTGCTGCTGTAGACATCCATTCTCTAGTCGAGTCCGGTTCGACCGCTCGCACAGCTGTTCCAGAGCGCTACGCCTGTTCCACTCTCTCTGGCGACCCTGGCATGATCCCGTCGTCTTCTGTCAGGCCAGTTGTTCGTCGGCCAAGATCCTCTTGGCTGCCCACTTCATTCGTTGCTCTTGCTCAAGGTATCTTCAAGGGTCTCCAAATTGTGGACAATATTTGTTGTCTTTCTTGATCCTAATTTGGTTTCTTGGAAGTCCGAAAAACAACCTACTTGCTCATGGAGATCTTATTGTTAAATATGTGCCTCCTAACCTTCCGCAGGCGGATATAATTACTAAGAGTTTTTTTGTATGTTTGCAATTTCATTTTTTAAATTAAAAGACAACATGTGCGTTGTATCTCCCGCACAGTTTGAGGGGTGTAATAGACTAATATATTTAGAAATCTGCCTAATATATATTTAGGAAACTACCTAATATATATTTAGAAATACTGTGTATTTTGGCACTCTTCTATTATAAATATATGTCAAGGCTCCTATTGGAGTACCCTTTCCCATTATTTCACAGCTCATCGGTCATCACATCTCTACGATCATAATCGGTCATCCAATCATCGCGTGATTGAGACGAAGATGTTGCCCCTACTTGTCGTTTACCTTTCGATCGCCCCGACCACCCCGAAGGACGACCTCTCGCAATCTCCTTTGATCAATTGCGTTAGAGACTTGGAGATTACCTATATCAATGGATCTCCTACCCGACTCCATTGTCTTAAAAATGTTACAACAAATACAAATTACAAATTACAATGTCAAGATTTCAAATTACAAAATAATTTTTTAACAAGAATTAAAGTTTAAGAAGTACTACTATGAAATAAAATATACAATGATTAAAATGTAACGACAATTAAAAATGTGACTAACTAATTGAATGCAACTACAATTAAATAAAGTGTAGAACTATTAAAATTTAACAACAACTACAATTTAACAACAAAATAAAATGTGAAGAACTAGTTAAATATTTAAATCACTTAATTGCAACTACTATGAAATAAAATGTACTAACAATTAAAATGTGACTAACTACCTAAATGTGACTAACAA